TCAGTAGCTATATCTGTCACAGGGTAAGTCGTACCAGACCTTGTGGTGGATGCTTCTGGGGCAGTGCTCTCAGAGGTGTATGCTGAAAAGGGAACAGACGCGGTTGTTTCATCTTCCTCAGGAGCTACATCTGTTACAGGGTAAGTCGTCTCAGGTCCTGCTGTGGATGCGTCTGGGGTGGTGCTTTCAGTACCGTATACTGAAGAAGGGACAGATATACTTGTTGCATTTTTCACGGTAGCTACGTCTGTTACAGTATAGGTCGTATTTGTTGACTCTGGGGCTGTACCCTCAGTTCTGTATGCTGAAGATGGAACAGGCGCGGTTGTTTCATCTTCCTCACTCACTACATCTGTAACAGGGTAGGTCGTATCTGGTACTGTTATCAATGCTTCCTGGATGGTACTGTCAGTACTGTATGTTGAAGAAGAAGCAGACGTGGATGTTCTATCTTCCTCGGTAGCCATATCTGTTACAGGATAAGTGGTATCTGGTCCTGCTGTGGATGCCTCTGGGACAGTACTCTCTAGGCTGTATGGTGAAGAAGAAACAGACGGGTCAGTTCCACCTTGCTCAGTTGCTATATCTGTTACAGGGTAGGTGGTATCTGGTTCTGCTGTGAATGCTCTTGGAACAGCACTCTTAGTACTGTATGCTGAGGAAGGAACAGACGGGACTGTTTCATCTTCCTCAGTGGTTATATCTGTCACAGGGTAAGTCCTATCAGATCCTGTGGTGGATGCTTCTGGGGCAGTGCTCTTAGAACTATATGCGGAAGAGGGAACAGACGTGGTTGTTTTATCTTCTTCGGTAGTTACAACTGTTACAGAGTAAGTCGTGTCAGGTCCTGATGTGTATGCTATTGTTGTAGCACTCTCAGTGTTGTAGGCTGGAGAGGTAAATGACGTGATTGTTTCGTCTTCCTCAGTCGCTATATCTGTTACAGGGTGAGTCGTATCAGATCCTGTTGTGGATGCTTTTGCAGTAGTGACGTCCTCTATTCCAGATCCATCGATTGTGTCTTCGCTCCCCTTCCTGTCAATAAGGAAGTCTGCTTCAAAGTTCTCGAAGGAAATTATTTCCCTCACAACTCGTTCATGTTTAGGCAGAGATTTTGGAGTGAGCTTGACAGTGAAACGAAGCTTTCCACCATAACTTGTTATCTGGGATTGAAAGATAAAACAAAAAACTTGGGAAGTTAAATAGAAAGACTAATTCAACATAATTTATGCTAATGAAATTAAACTGCAATCTTACAAGTTGCATGAATAAAAAAAACCGGAATTAAACCACTCGAACACTATCGCTGTTTTCCATTTCTCTGAAGTTTGTCAAGCTCCTCTGCTGCAGCTACAAAACACTCTCCTCAAACTTATAAATGGATAATTCGACCATGGAAGAAGCTTATTCTCATTTTTGGTTCAGCTATGATTGAGAGAACCTTGAAGGGACAGGTTCACGGTTAAGCGCATGCTCATTAATTAAATTACCTTTTTCCAATTTATTATTAATTCTATCGGTTAATAATCTTATTCATATGTATCTCAGCGATCTCAGAGTGCATTTCAAAGTAGAATTGTATTTCAGAGTAACCTGCAGTAAGATGGAGGGGTACCAAAATAGCACAGAAAATTAGTGGATTATGCCAACACTAACTACGTTAAATTTATTGTTGACCCGAAGGTTTTATTCCGTGATTGATTAATTTACAGCTATTTGCAAATATTTAAGTTGATGATGTGCAAGAAACTGCCAGGAGATTGTGCAGATTGGTTCTTTGACAACATTATGACATGATCATACTGCTTGCGTAGACGATACAGCATGTCCCGGCAGAAAAACAGCATTTTGGTAAATGAGCATGCCCTGAACCGTGAACCTTTCCCCTTAGCAATGTAGAAGCTATGAATACGAGATCTTTACCTTGTTCCCTAAAAACGCTTTCGGTAGAGCCCAATAATATTGCATCTGCTTGGAAATGTTATGAGCCACTACCTCATTGTTAGTTTTCTCTGCAGTGTAAGTTATTCCAGACACTTTCTCCCCATCGACACCTACTAGACGGATGATTGGTCCATCGGTGAAGTTCCTTATTTCCAGATTCATCTGAAATAAAGACCCGCAGGGTAAGGAGACTACTAGTATATCTACTATTTATCTATTTGTCGTTAAAATTACCGTCCTGCTAGGTCACACCATTTTTTTGAAAAATATGCAAGGAAGTGATGGATTTCTAACAAAAACTTTTATAAAGAGTATCTTGTTTTCAAAACGACTCGCCATACTCAGATCATTTCTGACTTTTGGCAAGCGCTCTTAGCGCGACAGTAAATGACCACACGCGCGACGGTCGCTTTGCGCGTCTCGATTTCGCCACTCGCCGCTCGCCCTACCGCCCAAACTTTGAAGAAAAAATGAGCATCTACCAGCTCTCTGCAAGGTCAGTGGAGAAAGGGAAAAATGATACTAAACATGAATCCGGTGGTAGATTTCACAGACTACTTGTACTCTTACTAATTGTTTCAAGAAGGAATTCAAAACGAAACGGATTTCCATTTATTGTCATTATTGTTTAACGTAGTTAAGAAGCTTGAAAACGAAGTTTCTTTTGTGATCTGTTCTGCTTGGACTCCAAAACAAATTCTTTTCTTGACAGCAATGACAATAACGTTATAGTTCCATCGCGAATACTTCTTACAGACTTCTAACTACAATTTTCTTTAAGAGCGAAAAGCACATGTTATGACACCTCATAATACTAAAACACTAAGATGTCCAGGACAGGGTCATCACATTACAAGTCCAGTCTCAAAGGGCTCGAAACGATCTACCGCCCAGGGTTCGGGCTCGAACATGAGCAATTGAACATAACCTTCTAGGAATAGGCGTGCATATCGTGACCAAGCTAAGATCTGCAACAGTTTAACTGATTGGCATTCATTTGTGCTAGGTTATCGCTTTTTTTCTAGAATCACAAAGGTGGAAAGGTTTCTATCTGGAAATGCTCAAAGTCACTCCGTTCTCATCTTCTAAAATGCATTATAAACTCCAAAACTTTCCTTTCCCATCGTATTTTCAAGCTTCCCTTGAACTTTTTTTTTTTAACTAAAATTTGATTTTAAACGCTTTTTCAAGTGTGGAAATGTGACAATGTTCATTACTCACCCTGCTCCGGTACATCTGTGAATTACTGCAATCCTGAGAATACCCCATACAAAAACATGGCACACACCTCCCCTTAGTGGAAGATGTTTTTTCTCCTGGATTACAGAAGCCATCTACGAAATAAATGCTTTTGTTAATGGGTGGTAGAAATAGTACACAACAATCTTTGTTCCAGACATCTAGAATGGTATTCCATTATCTAACATTTCAAAAGAATTAAAGGGACAGGTTCACGGTTCAGCGCATGCTCGGTAATGAAAATGCTGTTTTTTCTGCCGGGACATGCTGCATCGTCTATGGAAGCAATATGAGCATGTCATAATTTGTCAAAGAACCAATCTGGACACGCCCCTTGCAGTCACTTGATCAATTTATGTGCAAAAAGTTGTAAATTTGTCCACCATGAAATAAAACCTTCGGGACAACCATAACTTCAACGTTGGTAGTGTTGGCATAATCCACTAATTTTTCTGCGATTTTGGTACTCCTCCATCCCACTTCAGATTACTCTGAAATACACTTCTACTTTGAAATACACTCTGAGATCGCTGGGATACATGTGAGTGGGGTTATTAACCGATAGAATTAATAATAAATTGGAAAAAGGTAATTTAATTAACGAGCATGAGCTGAACCGTGAACCTGTCCCTTTAAAGCACAATGAAAAATGCTGACACGCACGCCGTACTGAGGAAACACTAAACAAGCAACTCCCAAGTGAGCATAGAACATCTGGTAGCCGGAAAACCAGACAAGTGAAATACACCGATGTAGTGCCCTGGGCAGTCGGAAGGCAGAGTCAAGGTAGTTAATAAAGAGATATTGACATTAAGAGATAGAATTCCCAACAAATGTATATAACATGCTTGTAGAATGTAGCTGTGTAGAAGTCTCATTGTTGATATCAATGCAATAAACCAGCTCATCATCCATTTCCTAAAACTTTAGTCACCCAAAAACGGGGTCTCAAAAAGTCTAAGACACCTTCTCCAGAAGTAGTTAATCGCTAGAAATCGATATCGGAAATCATTCGGTATAATCGATATCAATCGTTTTTCCGCCGATTGTCATCGATTGATATCGGAAATCGATAGAAAAAATAATTTATCGCTTATTATCGATTAACAAAAATCAACAACAATCGATAGTAATCGATAACAAGTAATAATGTTGAGGAGCAGATGGTTCAGATATTCTGCACATAACCATACTATTTGGCACACAACACCGACAAGACCGGCTTCAGCTTAAAACACTTTATTTTTGACTTCAGCAACTACTCCAGGTGTAGCTGATGAAAAAGAAATATAAGAAAGTGTCAAATGTTTTTATCGAAAAAAAAAAGACAAACGTCTCGGGTTTATGTCCCTTCTTCAGTTTGAGAAAAAAAAACCGTTGGTGTAGTCTTAATTTTTTGTTCCTCTGATTTTCATGGATCTTTACATGTCAAATAAATTCTAGCCATCGATTGCATCTTGCAGTTTTTCCTCGAATCTCGCTCACACTGGAATCCAATTCAATGCGGTGTATACAGGGCCATTATAATCCTCCAGATCGCTGCCATATTTTGGGATAAGGGGTCGTACTTGGTTCGGCAAAAGATAATAATCAAAGTCACAGCTTTTTTCCTTATCGATATCTATTGATTGATATCGAAAATCGATATTAATCGATGACGGATATCGATTACTATCGATTGTTACCGATTATAGGTTTATCGATTAATTACGCCTGGATCTTCTCTGTATGCCAAATGAGCAAGTATTTGTTAACTTATAGCTGTACACATTAACGCCGAAAGGGCATTTTTGCATATCAGCTAGAAAAAGATAACTCTAACCACATTCTGTTTCGTCGCTCCAGTCCCTGCAGTCGTTTTCTCCATCGCAGCGCCATTCTTGCCCAACGCACTTTCCATTCTTACAGTAATATGCATCGTGGGCGTCACATGGATCATTCACTCCTGTAACATGGAAATATTTTTCATCCAAATTCGTGGTGCTCAGAACAAGGCGAAAATAGGGAATGAGCAATTAAAAGGATATAATTTTACGAATTTAATTTAGCATAACGATAAATTGATAAAAGGAAAAGGAAGGAATATAGGAACGAATAAAGGCAGAAAAGCAGGTTTGGTATCCAAAATTGACTTCACGTTAGAAAACTAGTATAATGTATGCGTGCCGCACCCCATTGACATCCAGGGCAGACTTTCTAACACTGTGTACCCCTCCCCCCAACCCTTTTACTCCGACAGGACTGGATGTTTGAAGGCTATAGATTGAGAAATAAACAGTTACTCTACAAAGTAGCAAAGCCTACAATGTTACCTGGCCCAATCGCTGCACATTTTCCGTCCACGTTACACGAGTCAGCAAGACTTTGGATAACCATCTCTGGAACGGCGCAGTAGTAGATATAAAACTCATCTATGTTCCCGTTCATTTTAAGCCGTAACACCTCGTTGATGTAAGATTGGCCAATGGTCGTGAACTCTCCCCAGTTTATTTTCAGAGAACCTCCGCCTGAGACACCTTGCAGGATCTCCTTTTTATTGACAAAAGCCACAGATCGCCCACTGAAGGCGTCGTATTGCACGACCAGATGCGTCCACAAACCGGCTGGCACGACTGGAACTACACTTAGGAGAGCAAATGTGGCCATTGGTGGGCCTATTGAAGTGTACATCCAAGAGAGATGACCCTGGGCAATCTCCAGCCTAAGTTCGCCGTCTTCTCCTGCTACAACCAAAACTGGCTGGATACCCGTCTGGGTGAGTATTTTAATCCAAAGAGAAATGGTTATTGCGTCAGTTTTGGTTGCTAGTTTTGCACTATTGAATTGCACGTTTTCAGCATTCAGGTCTGCAAACTTGCCACAAGGGCTCTCCTCATTGCCTGCAGAAGGGAACTGGGCACGGCGTCCGCCTAGTTCATGTTGACCAGTGGTTGCTTTGTCAAACCCGAGGTACAATTCGGGCGTACAGCAGCCTGTATTAGCAAAAGTCAAGAACAATATTTACCCGAGAGATAACTAGGGTATCGGAATGCGTTATTTTATTCCTTATCCGACGGCCTAACATATCATTTAAAAGATTCGCAGGAAATCATCTCTGCCCTACGGCTGGTGATTTGTGGGACTTTCGGCATATATCGTTACAACAAAGAGAACAAATGAAGGAAACGCGTTGTTGTTGTTGTTTTTTTTTTCCTTCGCATGTTTTACCATAGTTTGTAATTTGGAATGGATGGATGAAGCCCGTCAGACGCCGTTGTCATATGTCTTTGTGGACCTGACGGTGCACAAAGTTCAATCGGCATTCCTATCATTTCGATCTTATAGACCAATAAAAACGTCGCAATTTTATTCCGTCGCAATTTTCCAACAGAAAACAAAGGATTGTGCACCTTCAGGGAGCTTCCAACATAAATTACAGCACAATTTTTTTTTACATATTTGATGTTTGTTGCCTTTCATAATTAGTCTCCTCTAATAACTATGGTTTTACGTAATAAATAAAAAACCAGAAAAAGCCGAAGGCCTGCATGGAACAGGATACCTTGATACAAGCAAAAGCACCTGCTGCAATTGTTTCCTTTTGCGGTTATGATGAAGAGAGGTGTTTAGGAACCATAATATACGTAAGCTGTGGTTACACGAGAAAACTTTGCCTAGGTAAATGTAAGGTTTAAACTGGAAAAAGTGCGTTTTACACGAGAAACCGTTTTCAAACCGAAAGAATCCCTAGGTGAATTCTTTTTGTGAATTAATTAAAGAAAAGAAAAGTCTCCAAGCAAAACCCTGGTGGATCAGTGAAGAGTTGTCACGTTTGCTAGGGTAGACTATGAATCTATCAAGAGAGAACTGAGAAGCCGAGTTTTGGAAGATGCAATGACACAAGTGCGCGCAATGACGTCGACTGATTAACTCGTTGACAGAGTTTGCAAGAGGCTTGTTCATTTCACCACACGTTAATGACTCTTCAAAGGGGTTTATTACAGTAAAACCCCCGTATAGCAAACCCCTATAAAACGAACACCCCGATTTGACAAATGATATTTGCCACTTTGACGAACCTTGCTAACCCACCCCCCTCCCTCCCAACTCCTTTCCCCCTCTCCCTAC